ACAGGTGCCCGGGCTGCACACTGTGCCCCTGCCCCGCTCTTCCCCAACCCCTGGCCCAGTCCTGTCCCACAACCCGTTGTCCCGGCTCTGACCCCACCCCGCGTCCCTGCCTTGTCCTCACCCCCTATCCAAGACCTGACCCCACCCCCTGTCCCAGCCTTGTCCCTACTCCCTGCCCCAGCCCTGACCCTCACCCCATGTCCCAGCCCTGTCCCCGACTCCGCTGGCATGCAGCCCCTGGAGCACCCGGGTAACACGGCACGTTGCAGACCCCGTAACTCTCCCCAGCTTACCGAGTCACGGGGTGATGCCGGCAGCGACAGCCCTCCAGGGCCGGGGAGTTATACGGCATCCCCGGGCACTCAGTGCACCGGGCTCCCATGGCTCATAAAACGCGTGCCTGGTGCTCCCAGGCACTGGATGCTGTTTTTCACAGCTGCCTGCCTGCTCTCGGTGTCCCCTCCATCCTTCATGCTGCCTGTGGGGCTCTGTGAGCTGCCCACTGTGGGGCTGTTGCAGACCTGGGCTGGCCCATGGGCACGGTGCTGGTGACCGGCTTCTGCCCCTCGCACATTTAGAGGTGGTCAGCCCGGTCACCTGCTTTCTGGTCTGAGCACACTTCGGGGCTCTGGGCCTTGCTTTCCAGGCTGCTCCTGCCCACCAAGTAGCTGCTTCAGGTTATTTTACCTTCGTTTTCCCAGACTGGGCTGCACTTTGTTTCTTGCCTACATTTCCTGGATCCTTTGAATGATTGCTTTGGCCAGTGTTTGCAACACCTCTCTGCTCAGTATCATCTGCAAATTTAATTACAATTCACTATTAAAGTGAAAGTTTTGGAGATGGTGTAAAACAATACCCTGAAGTTCAGCTAAATTGTGTCTTGCTTGCCTTACCCAAAAGATTTGCCCGGCAATTCTTCTGAAATAACTCCTGCCAGGCAAGCCAACGTCCTTCATCCAGGAGCCCATTGCAGTGGGTGTGCAGGCTCCTTCCTCCACGCGTTATGCTCTGTGCTAGGGATGGGCACAGGGTTTATTCTGCACCCAACACCAGTTTTATTGTCCTTTCTCACACAGAAAATCAGTGCCTGCTTTGTTCTTGCTGTCACCAGGGCCCTGGTTTCTTCCCGGCACCACGTGTCTGTCATCGGGTTAATCAGTTCATCTTGGCACTGGCCACGCTGGCCAGGTGACTGTGTCTATGTGGAGATGCTGTTTTTGCTTTCCCTGCAGCTGTTTTTTTGCGATGCCTCTGCCTCATTTGCATTTTTCTGGTTAAAAACAGTAATTTCGCCCTTTTGAGTCATCTTTATTTTTGAGCCATCATTAATTTTCTCTCCCTCCTGTTTATTAATAGATCTTTTCACTTTTGTGCTGATTCTGCCTGGGTATATTTGTAAAGTCCTTTGTATTCCCCTTAGCCCTCTGGCTGTTAACTCCTTCTGCTGGTTTGTTGTTCCTTTTCTCCCCTGCAGCTGTGAGGGGACACTATTGACTTACAGATCCTCCTCCTGTCTGAAACGTTCCCCTTCTCTTGTTCCAGGTATCTCCTAAGAGCATCTGTTCCAGGTATCTCCTAGGAGCATCGCAAATGAAAGGCATGATTGAAATCTCTCTTTTCTCGGTGCCTTTGCCACCTCCTCGCCTAGCCAGCATTTGCTCTGTCTGCTGGAGAGCATCTTTCTCCTGACAGCAGGGGACAGGGACGTCATAAAGCCCAGGGGGCTGTGGGCAGGCATCCGACAGGACGTGGCTCTCTGCTCCTTGAAGCGTTTTGCTTTGCCTCATGCCAGCAGCTCTGTGTTCTTGCCTTTGCTTTGTCTCTCCCTGCCAGGTATCCAGGTCCTTCCCTGGCCTCATCATCTGCTATATGAGCCAGGCAGGATGGGCTGGAACTCTGCTGAGAGTAGGAGAGGTGCAGGGTAGCCGAATCCTCTGATAATCCTTACCCAGGCTGCCAGGCGCTGGGGTTGTGCAGTCAGCGAGCGTGCCACAGCATGTGCCTGGCATGGGATGAGTCCTGTGAGCGGCGGGTTCCCCAGTGGAGCTGTTTAGAATCTCCTTGTACCTGTCTTTTTATTAGTCTTGTTATTATATTTATTTTTTTTCCCCTCCAAAGAGCCCAATCTGCAGCACGCCATAAAGAGTGACATTGCGGGTGTGCGAGCTGCATGCTGAGGCTGTACGTGGTCCCCCAAGGCTCCCGGTCCCCCGTGCTGCCATCCCTGTTCACCGACAAGGCTTTAAGGTTATCTGCTCTATTGATGGGAGTATGGATTGAGTGGAATTAGAAACCTCGAAGGCTAAAAATACAGCTCCCTGCCAGGAAATGCGGCAGCCTGCTGGGAGGGTGCTGGGTGGCACCGAAACTTTTCCAGGAACTGGCATGCTCCATGTGAGCCCCACAGCACAGCATCTGTGCCTGTCCCCGAGTTACCTGAGCGGGACTGTGGCTTGTATCTCTGCCCACAGCAGCAGAAGGTGGCGGGAACTCTGGCTTTGCTGTCAGAGCTGTGCTGTAGGTGTCCTCACCTGCCAGGCAAAGGTGCAGATGATGGAGGGAATTTGATGATGCGCTGTGCAGTGTGAAGTAGTCTGCGATGTGGACAGCCCTGTCTTGCTGTTGTTGGGGTCCTTCGCTAGATGGGAGGGGGAGAGAAATCATGGAGAAAACACTGGCTATTCGTGCTGCAGAGAATCGCTAGAGGAGAAACTCAGGTGGGCACATCACCTGGGCATCTGCTCTGAGACCTCGCAAACTCATGCCATGAGTGGTGTGTTCCTGGAGAATGGTGAGGGGAGCCACTGCCCATGGGGAGCCCCAGCCACCTCCGTGCTGATGCTGCAGCATCCCGCTGACCATGCCAGGCTGTGCTGCGCCGGGCTGGCGGGCGTGACGTGCCAGGCAGCTGGGCAGTGCTCCCACCACCACTCTTACCATGGTACCATGGTGTGCCCAGTCCAGGGCTGCCTTTGCCTGCTTGGTGCCGCAATGCCAACCTGTTTTGCTTGCTGGCTCCAAAAAGCAGGGCAGGACCTGGGGCACCACGGGCCCTTTTGGGGATGTTCGGCCGATCGCCACATGGCTTTGCAGGGCAAGCTTGGTCCTGGAGTCTGGAAGGGACAGGGTTGCCCTGCCCAGCGTAGTGTGAATGAGACCCGAAGCCAGGGCTGTTGCTCTGCCTCCTGGAGCATGAAATCAGTCGGTGCCGACGCGTAGCCATGGCATCGATGAAGTGTGTAATAGGTTGGGGGCAGGAGCAATGATGCCCTGTGGGGGAAAAGCAAAGTGCTGCAGCATCCCTGCCAGCATGGGCCAGCCACCACCCTGCGGTGCTTCTCCCCAGGCTGCGGGAAGTGGCTCTTCCCCAGCAGCATGCAGCAGGCAGAGGCAAAGCTGTGCGGGCAGAGGATGCTCCCAGCACCAGCCGTCTGGCTAATGCTGCACCATCTGCTTTGAGGGTGAGGCAAGGTGAACAGCAAGCTTTCGAGGAGCCCATAAATCGAGTGTGCGAAGGCTCTTGGAGGTGACTCAGGAAGTGTGTGGAGCAGTGCTGCTCCTGGCTGCTCCCTGTGCTGGAAATTCTTGGGAAGTGGAGTCTGGGCGGGATCAGTGATCCCACAGAAGGCATTTGGTGATGTCCCATGGGCTGAGACTCTGCTTGCCTGGGAAAAGTCCTTTAGCAGACATGCTTTGGTGCAGCTGGAAGCTCTGCATGGGTGAAAATGGTGGTGCCAGGGGGGCTTCCGGTGCCCCCTCCCTTTCAGCACCTAGGCTGCTGCTCACTGAGAAAATGTATAACGCCTCGGTGTTGAAAAATGACTATTCCAGACCTTGGAGGGTTTGTAGGATATGTTCCTTTCTTGTGGTCGATAAAGATAAAGGGCATCGTTCTGCCAGCAAAATTAGCGTATCAAAGAGAGGGAAAAAAATGACAAGTGCTACAGAGACAGAAAAATGGTTGGGGCAGCCCCAGGATGGTGCCCAGCATCACCGCGGCACCCATGTCTGCACCTTGTGCTGCAGAGGTGTGCAGGGCTATGCACCCCACGTTCCTGCCCACCTCTGCGGCATGAGGTACAGACACAGGCGCTGCCCTGCCCGGGCTTGCCGGTGGTTTCCAGAGAGCCGTGGGAGACCCATCCATCACACCAAGGCAGCCGTCTGTCTGTCCATCAGGAAGAGGGGATGATGCCATGTGGCACGGGCAGCCCCGTCCGCTTTCCAGCCGGTGGTTGGCTTCCCCTTGCCTTCCCGGCACCGCTGCCGGCTGTCGGTGAGGGGCCGCGGGGAGCGTTCGCGCCTCGGCCGGGGGCTGCGTGGAGGGGAGGCTAATGTACCGGAGGTGCCTCGGAAATGAGAGCCTTGGATGGGTTCCTGGCCCTATTGATCCGCCGGCAGTTTATGCATCCTGACATTCATAATCTCAGTTGGCGCTGATGGTCCAGATTAATGGGCCCGGGGGCTGTCCATCCGTCACTTCACATTAATTACTGAAGAGGTGTTTTTCCAGTGATTTACCTGACAGCGGCCCATGATGAATCCCCCTAAACAGAGTGGGCAGTGATTAATCACGGGTCCCAGGCCCAGCCCCGCTCTGCTTTCCCCTCAACCGCAGCGCAGCCCCCCACACCATCCGTCTCCATAAACCCTGCCTGATGCATATTTATAGGGGCAGGGGGGCCTGGCAGCTCATGGCATGCCTGCTGCTGCCAAAGATGATGAAAAATAAATCTCTGCCGGGATGGGGCAGCAGGTGAGAGGGGCTGTGGCATGCTGGAGTGGCAGCTATGGTCCTGCTCCAGGGTGTCCCCAGGCTGGGGTTTGGTCTATGGTGCTCCATGGCTGCCATGGGCTTCTCCGTGGTTTTTGATACATATATGGTTCTATGTCCTATGGCCCTATGTCCCATAAGGGCTCTATGTCCTGCTTTGGCCACAGCTGCTGGCCCGTGGGTCTTGGGAGGACCCAAGCAGCAGTCTCCAGAGTGGGCCAGGTGCCCTGGTGATGCTGGCAGAGTTTTCCCGCTTCCCCCAAGTCTGGTATATACCCCACTGAAGGCTGTAGGGCTGCGGGGTGCTCCGGCTGCCAAACCCCATCTGCAGAGCTGCTACCATGGGTGCAGCGTTGGGGCTCTGCTATCCATCACTGTGTGCCAGCTGCTGTGGGAGTGAGGGTGGGTGCCAGGCTGAAAACCCAACCCACTGACCCGGGCGGGGGCTGCCCGCTACCTGCCCAGCTGTGGGGCCGTTGGTACGCGGGCAGGGCAGTAACGCTGTCTCTTCTTGACAGGCAGCAGTGGCACCATGCAGCAGGAGGTGGAGGGCAGCCGGCCACGCCGCAGGAAGCCTGACTTGCCCCTCTACGTGCCCAAAGCGCGGCGGGAGAGAGCAGCGCAAGTGGCGGGTGACATGCTGGCTGGGCACTGTCAGGATCCCAAGAACCACCGCCTGGTGCAGGACACTTACCAGGACAGCGGCAAAGGGCAGCGGCGAAGCCCCTGTGCCAGGACACAGGCGGGCAGAGCGTCAGAGAGGGAGAACAAGGTGGATGCTGGCCTGAAGGAGCCACGGGCAGCCTCTGCTGAGCACTGCCGGAGACTGGGAAGCAGCTGCCCCACTGCACTGGAGGGCCTGGAGGCATCGCCCAGCATGCGGGATCTGTGCCCGGATCTGGCTCTTGCCCAGTCCTGGGACGGACAGGACAAAGCATCCCATGATGAAAGACTTGGGGAGCTTGGTCACAGCCACCACATGATGAGGACTGAGCCTGACCGTCCATCCCCACCGAGTGCCCAGTCTGGGGCCACGGTAGCAACCCCTGAGCCTGGGGGCAACCCTACGAGCCCAGCACCCCCTGCTAGCCCAGTGCTGGCATGTCGGACAGGGCCAAGTGGCATGTCAGAGCATTTGGGGGACAGCACCCCAGATCCAGCCAGGGACCTCTCCCAGCACCCAGGAGAGGGTGTTCTGCAGCTGGCAGTGCTGGAAAACCAGGACAGTGTTCCTGGGCTGGCATGGGAGCTTGCAGGTCCAAAAACCCAGGAAGAGGAGAGGGAGTGTGGGGGGTCTCTTCTGGCACGGCAGAGCAAGATCTGTGCCATTGGGGTGCTAGAGGAGGAAAAGGAGAGGTGGGGAGGCACGACTGAGCTTGCTGAGGAGAGGGCCTTGGATGCACCAGGAGGAGCCAGCTGCAAACCTGGGTGCTCGAGTGGTGGCATGGGTGATGCACCAGTGCTCCCAGTGGAGAGCACCTCAGGGAAGGGCACTGTCAGCCTGTCCCAGCTCCCATCTGGCAAGGAGGAGAGCACTGCCAGTCCTGGGCATCCTGATGGGGATGGTGACCTGGTGCCTGCTGCGGAGGGAGCAGGCAGCACCTCTGCCTGCACAGACGGTAGTGCTGGGGCTGAGAGCAGCCCACTGAGTGCTGATGAGGAGCCAGTGAGCGGTGTGTGGGAGGGGGCACCCACGGAGAGCCACAAGCTCCTGCCACCCATGGAGCTGCTGTGCCATGGTGTAGAGGAGCTCTTGCCCACATCCTGGGCTGAGGATCTGACGGGGGCAAATAAGGATGTGGAATTACCACAGCAGCACCAGTGTGACCAGGATGCTGAGGAGGAAGAGGGAGGTTTCCACAGCGATTCCCCAAAGGCAGAGCAGACCAGTTCTGGGACCCCAAGCCAGGCCAGCCCAGGCGCCGAGGAGAGCTGGGACGCTCTGTTCAATGATGACGGGGACTGCCTGGACCCACGCCTGCTGGAGGAGGTATGTCCTGGGAGCCCGTGCCTGCGGGGCTTTGCAGGGATGGTGGCTGCTGCCTGCTGGGATGTGGGGATGGGTCCATGGCAGTCGTCTGGCCTTGCGTCCTCTGGGGTGGGTGCACAGTGGAGCAGGCTGCACCCGGGACACATGGCCAGCCCGGCTGAGCTGCCTGCTGTCACCGCCAGCCATTCCCAAGGGCACGAACTACCTGCAGTTCTGAAACGCCTGGGACCTCCACCTTCCCCCATGGCTGGTTCCCATCCTCTGGTACTGGTGAAGGCTGGGTGAGAGCTTTCCTCTGTAGTACATAAAACGCACCCAGTAAAACCTGCTCGAGCGCCATAAACTGCAAGTGCACCCTCATGAAACCAGGGCTGGTGATAAAGAAATGGGCTGAGACGTATGGGCTCCCATTGAAATAGCAACGGGAAGTTTCCTCGAAACTACAGCTTCTTAATCAGCTGTGGCTCATTACCATCCCCTCCTGCACGCGTGCGGCTGAATTTACTACAATTAGCTGCTTAGCACCGGGACCCACGCCGTTTTCCTGCCATTCGTGAGGAAAGTTAGGCTTCTGCAGTGAGGCTGGATATCCCTTATTGCATTTTAAATCAGTAGCGTCAAACCGGTAATTTTCCGAATGACATTAATGTGCCCAAAGTAACAAACAACACTAATATTGTTACAGCCAGCGTCCATCCAGCCCAGGCTGGAAGCAGGGTGTGAAGTGGCAGATGGTGCCTGATAACAGCTTCTGGGAAGGGATGAGATTAACTCAGGATCATTATTACTGGGGAGCACTGGCACCCACCTCATCCATGGGGCCATGTTCAGGCTGGTGTGCCCTCGCCAAGCCCCACATGGGGCTGGGACAGGGTGTGGAGTGCACAGAGCTTGCCTCTGGGGCTGCTCGGAGGGAGACGTGGAAGAGTTTTGGGTACCCTCATCCCTGCCTGGCTATGTTCCCCCCAGCTCCAGGCAGGAGGTTGAGGTGAGCACTGGTGTGAGGAGGACAGTGCTGCTTCTCCAGTGTCAGCTGGCAGGTGTGGTACTGGCACTGGCTTTCCATGGACTGGCATGGCAGGCATGGCTTTGTCCTTGGGCGCAGCAGAGCAGCTGCCTGGCCCCACAGGGAGGTAGGTCAGGGTGGGCCTGTGTGATCGTGAGCTGTAGGATGCTGTGGAAAACGTGTGATGCAGCACCAGTGGTAACTGTGAACAGCTCTGGAGCATCCATGTTAGGTCCCCTGTGCACAAGCTCTGAGCAAAGTTTGAGCTTTCCAGGGAGCTTCTGGAAATGAGTGAATAAGAACCTGAAAAGGGGATTTATCTATTAAAAGTTGACATCTTAACCCCCTGCAGATTCCCATGCCGAGCCTGGAGCTTCCCAAGCCCTCCAAGCTCTCGGCAGGCAGACGCGGCTGCTCAGGAGGGCGCAAGCTCTTGGGGAGATGGAGCTGTTGTTAATTAACAAAAAGGACAAGAAAATTAGTAGTGTTCTTCCTCATAACCAAATCCTTATGTGCTGCAGATAGCTGGCAGAGAGCAAGATTTATGACTTTCTATATGGAGGAGAGATTTCTGATAGCAGACAGCTCTTTAATCTAGCAGGAAAAACACCACAGCGAGATCCATTGGCTGGAAGCTGAAACCAGACAAATTCAGAGAAGAAATCAGTTTGAACGCAGAGTGTAATTAAGCAGTGGACCATTTCCTTGCAGGCTTGGTGGACTCTCCATCAGCTGGTGTGGCGGGGTGGGGGCCGTGGTGCATGCGTGCCAGCACACGCCTCCCCTCCAGCTCTGGAGGTACGCTCCCGGCAAGTGAGCAGGAGTGTAAGCGAGTGGCCACGGCCCCTTCTGATATGCTCCATCGAGGGTCCGTCTTTCCAGAGCAGCGAGGCATGACAGACAGGCTTCATTTCCTGCCTCCACTATCTGTCTGACCATCCATTAGCAGACCCTTCCCAGTGCCAGGTGCCTGCCAGGCCTGGGGTCCATACCCCAGCTCCCGCTCCCTGCCCTGCCCCACGGCTGGGGGGCTGTGGGAACCCCCTGTGTCTGGGCAGGCAGCGCGGCAGGACCTGTTGAGCTGTGCCTGCCGTGCGGCTGAGCCCAGCTGCCAGACGGCTCCTGTCCTTGCCGCCCCGCCACACTTGGTGATTTGTGAAGGTCAAGGACCACTCTGGCACTCTGTGCTCCTGCTCTCTAATCATCTTCCCAGCGCCTGGTACTACCCGAGTGCTCCGCTCCCTCAAGCGGCACCACAGGGCTTCATCCTGCCCGGGGATGGCTCCTTCACCTCCCCTGAGCCCTGCCCCACACGGGGTGCGCTCAGTTAATGGGTGATGGTGGTGGGCAGGCGGCTCTGCTGGCAGCCCTAGCCTGTCCCGTGAGCTCCATAACTCAGCTTTACCCTCCACCGGCATCCAGCCGCCCTGGCAGCACCCCCTCACCTGCCGTGAATCCATCTTCCCCATAAAATTGTCGGAATGAGCACTTTTTATTGACTGAGCTGGCTGGGATTTATGGACTCTAACCTTCCAGCCGTGGTGTGCTCTGCTACGATCGCTTGGGGGATCGGGCTGGGAACCTGGCTGAGTTATGTACCCGCTCCCCAGCACCACCCCACCCCCATGCTCTGGGGGGGACTGGGGAGCCCCCACTGGCTTTGGGCTGCACCTGGCCCAGTGTCCCAGACAGAGCAGGGCTGCGAACCCCCCTTGGCCTCCAGCGCAGTGCAGTTTGGAAAGCAGCGGTGCCCTTAGCGGTGCAGCGTGGCCCACTGGGCAGAAGGTGCTGCAGGGTGGCCCATCAGCACGGTGTTGCAGGGTCGAGGGGAGCAGGGGAGCAGCTGCACCCCTGTGTCGTGGCAGTGAGAGACTGCTGCCCATGTTTTAAAATAAAGGTTAAAAAATGGGAGAGGTAGAAAAGTGCTACAGCCATCATCTTTTAGGGCTGGAGAAAGTGCCCCGCTGTGAGATACTAAAGGCGCACAACCCGTTTAGCTTATCAAGACGAAGATTGAGAAGGGACTTGATTAGTGTGAGTAAGTGCCATCACGGGGAGGGGACTGGTGACTGAGGGCTCTTTAATCCAACAGAGAGGCAGAACAAGAACCGCTGGCTGGAAAGCGAAGCTGGACAAATTCAAATGAGAAATTAGGCATAAATTTTTAGCCGCGCAGGTGATTAACCACCAGAACTTGCTCCTCAGGGGAGCGCTGGCTTTTCCATCTTGGTGTCTGGGGTGCCGATGGGCTGCTCCGGTGCATGTGCTGCAGCCAGGGCATGTCGAGCCCGGTGCTCCCGTGTGGCAGGCAGATGTCAGTCTTTCCTCCTGGCCTTGCTGTTCTGCTTCTTGTTGTTCCCCAAATGTATTTCCTGTGGAAGGAGGGGTGTGTTTGGGGGTGCATGCGCTGTCTCACTGGTGCCATTCTTACCGTGTCCCCAGTGGGACTGCAGAGCATGACAAGTGAAGGGATGCTGGTAATGGGAACAGCAAGTGCATGGCGTGAGAGCACTGGTCAATAACTCCTAATATCTCAATGCCATGAATCCATCTGCAGTGCTGGGGCGGGGCGCGGGGGCTGGGCCACTTCCCAGGGAGCACTTACCATGGATCTGGAGCTGGAGTGGGGTGAGCGGCATGGGTTGCTCATTGCTGTGCCTCTCCCATCCCTGCAGCTCTCGGGAGGTGAGAAGCACCGGGAGAGCCAGCAGTCACCCCGCTTTGACTACTATGGGGCTGAGCCCACCGCACTGGACCTTAGCGATGCCGAGCTGCCCCACGTCATTGAGATCTATGATTTCCCCTCGGATTTCCGCACTGAGGACCTGCTGCGTGTCTTCTGCAGCTATCAGTGAGTCTGCTGGCAATGTCCTGTTCCCAGCACTGGGGTCCCCTGCCTGGGCTCTGCTCCAAACCCCTTCCCGCCTGGTGCTGATGCCTTGCTGAGCTTCCCTCTCTCTGACAGGAAAAAAGGCTTTGATATTAAGTGGGTGGATGATACACACGCCCTGGGCATCTTCTCCAGCCCCATAACAGGTATTGCTCCCAGTTTGGCTGGGGTTAGGCAGAGGGGAGGCATCACTGCCTCTTCTATGGCCAGATCCTGGGCATGGGGCTGGCCCCACACACAGACACCACTGCTCTCTCCCTGCAGCACGCGATGCCCTCAGCTCCAAGCACCTGATGGTGAAGACGCGCCCGCTCTCCCAGGGTACCCGTGCCTCTAAAGCCAAAGCCAGGGCATACGCCGGTGAGTGATGCTGGCCTGTGCAAGCTTGTGCTGCAGCATCTTCATTGCTATAACGGGGGAAGGACTGGGCAGCTGGCATGGATCCACAGCACTTATGTACTGGGTGCCCCGTCCCTCCTGGCATGCCCCTACTGATGTCCCCCATCTCTGCTCACCCAGACTACCTGCAGCCAGCCAAGGAGCGCCCTGAAACATCGGCTGCCCTGGCCAGGCGGCTGGTGATTGGTGCCCTGGGGGTACGCAGCAACCAGACACCAGCCCAGCGAGATGCTGAGCGGAGGAAGCTGCAAGAAGCCCGGGGTGAGATTTGGATATCCAGGGGGGATGCCGTGTATGGGGACTCCTAGTGGGTGCCTCTTCTCACAGGGTGCTGGGTGGGAAGGGGCTGTGCTAGGGTGGGCTTCAGCCACCTCCGTGGGGAGCTGGGCAGCTGTGGGGTGATGGGGACATGGGGTTGACCCTCCTCTTGTCTCTGCAGAGAGAAAGCGCTTGGAGAACAAGCAGCGGGAGGATGCCTGGGAGGGTCGGGACTGAGCTGGGAAGCTGCACCTTCATCCCTACTGGGAACCTCCCTGGGGCACCTTGCATCTTAGAGCTCAGATGGATGCTGCACCGCATCCAGAAGCACTGGACTGCTCCCCCAAAAGGGCTGAGCAGGACGTGCGCAGGCTAGTTGGTGCCATGCAGATGTTGTCGCCATCAGGCAGCGCTGCCCATCCTGCCCAGGGCAGGATCCCTGGTGCTGCCTGCTGCAGTGAGAGCAGCTGGTGGAACACAGGGAGCTCAGCAGTGAGCATGCGGGGCCGTGCGGGGTGGCCCTGGCCACCTGGCAGGGCTTTGCGCGTGAGAGTTTCTGTCCTTTATTTTGCTAATAAATACCATTTATTTTACTGTGCCTGGTCTGGACATAGCTCTCCATGCTCCTGCGTGCCGGAGGGGGTTTGCATGACAGAGGCTGCTGTGCATGGCCCCCACTGCCATGGGGATGTTCACCCCTCCCAGGTGGTGAGTGTCCCAGGCAAGCAGGTGGGGGGCGCAAGCAGGAGGGGTCGGGCAGGGCAGTGGGCAGGAATGTTCTGGCAGGGACCCTGTTTACTTCCATGGAGCAGCTGCGGCCCCGAACAGCAGGGCCCTTGTCGGTGCGCAGGCAGGGCCCTGTTCCCGGCCACGTGTGGGGCTGTGATGTGGTGGCGCTGCCGGCCCTGGTGGGCTGGGGGCTTCCTGCCCTGCCCCGGGGTGAGGGTGCAGGCAGGCAGCTGGGACCTGCCCTTAAGATCCTCTGCTTTGCATCATCTCTCAGCACCCGAAAAACAGCCCCAGCACTCCCACTCTGTAGCCCCCCAAACTCTCAGGGCCACGGTTTGTGGGGCTCCCGTGCCCTTTACAGCAGGTGGGGACGGGGATGGTGCTTTCCTGCCACCCCTGCCAGTGGTTTGCATGTTTTCAGCGGTGGCTGCCTTGCCCCAGCCTGCGCTTGTGTGGCTGCCCTGTGTCCCCTGGCTGTCCCCCAGCCTGGCGGCGGTGGAGCCGGTCACGACCCCGCGGCGGTGGCCGCCTGCCCCCGTGCTGGCGGTGCTGCCAGCTGGGGGCCATCTTGGCCGCTGCTCCTGGCCACTCGCAGCTCAACCCGTGGAAAGTTAAGGGCATGAAGCTGCTCTCATGTGGAAAGCATCTTCCCCGGCATCTGGCATCCCTTGAACTCTGACCACGGCGGATCAAGCCTCTGCCAGCATGCGCCTCGCCTTGGCCCTTGGCTTTAGGCCACCTCAGTGTGTCAGCGCTGTCCCTGGCAGCTCCTCCATGTGTGGGAACCATCACATGTGGGTATAACCCAGCCTGTCCTGGCTGTGCAGGGCTGAAGTGGGTGCTGGCAGCCCCCCCACCCCAGGCTGGTGTCTGCCAGCAAGGTGGGGATGGGCAGGGATGTGTAAGGAAAGGGGTGGCACTGCCTGGTAGCTGGCTCGCCTTGGGCTGGGCAGTACAGAGTGTGGGTTGGTGGCATTCCCATTTATTTCCTTTTATTAAAACAAAGCTAGAAACCATGGGAGGAAAGACACACAGAGCAAGGACATGGTGTTCCCTGTGTCCTCACCCTGTGCCCAGGGAGAAAGGGCTTCGAGGGGCAGAGTGGCCCCATCCCTCCTCCTGGCACTGGGAAGCTGCCAGGGCAGCCCCTGGGAAAGCCCGGCATGGCAGCTGCAGCCATGGTGGCCAGTGGGCTGGCTGCCGGCCCGTGCTGCCACGGAGCTGGCCCAGTCCCTTTATGTGCATGGGGTCAGTCAGTTCAGAGCCAGGGTTCCCCAGCCAGTGGGGATGCTGGCGATGAGCTGGAGCTGCTGGGCACCAGTCACAGGCAGCCAGATAGAGGGTTGGTGGCCCTGGGTGGCAGCAGGGGGACACTGCCTGACCACGGGGGCATCATCTAGACAAGGGTTGTTCCAGGCCAGGTCCTGATGTGGAAGAGTGCAGGGAAAGGAGCAGGGGCTGGTGGGGTTGATAAGGGAGTACCCTCTCTCCCATAGCACAGCACCTTTATTGAGGACAGGACTAGTGTGCAGGTGGCAGTGGCTGGGGCCTGTCCTGAGCCTGCTGGGGCAGGGGGGCCGGGCAGGCAGGCTGAGGTAGTTGTCCTGGGGGCACTGGAGCCACGGAGGTGGGGGCTGCTGCAGTACCTGGATCCCCTCTTGCAGGTCCCACCAGCAGCACAGGGCTGAACACCCCCAGGTGCTCCCCGCCGGCCCCAGTGCTCATCTCCACTCTCTGCAGCAGCGTCAATAAATACAAGTCTTCGAGTCCCTGAGCTCAGTCTGGTGCTGCCGGGGTGCAGGGGCTGGGGTGTGGGAGGCAGGCTGCCCTGTGGTGTTGCCAGGGGTGTGCTGGTGCCAGGGGGTCACAAAAGGTTGTTGGCCAGGCGCTCCCGTCGCTCCAGATCGCTCACCACATCAGCGCCATAGGCATCACCTGGGGAGAGTGATGATGTGGGTCAGGGGGACAGGGGAGCTGCAGCAGCCCCAGGCCTGCCACTTACCCCCACCTTGCCCACCATGCCCTCTCTGCTCCCATCCCTCCGTACTTGTGTGGCAGCTGTGCATCCAGATGCGCTGCCCATCATATTTGCACTGGCATCGCATCACGTTGTTGGAGAAGTCTGACTCGGCCACCTCATGCTTGGGGTTCACGACCACCTAGGGAGGGTGAGGGGCAAGGCTGGGGGCACTGCTGTTGTGCCTTGCCCAGGCAGGGCCATGGCATGCACTGTGGGGTGCAGAGCAGCACCCCGATGTGCAGGGTGAGAGGTGCTGGTGGTGCCCATGGAGGTTGTCCCCCAGCCCTGAGCTCCAGTGACTCGATGTGCCCCTGCCCCTCCGTCCCCATACCTGGAAGGTGTAGCTGCCCGGCGGCACATCAGTGATGTCGATCCACTGGCAGTCGATGTCATGGCGGTAGGTGTCCCAGCACCCCACACTCACCCCCTGCTCCCCAAAGTTGGCACAGGCAAAGCGTCGCTGTAGCCCTGTGGGAGGGAGGGGAGGTGAGGGAGGGCACAGGCAGAGCCCCCCTCAGGGAGCAGGACTGGAAGGTTCACTGGCAGCTCTGTGGCTGGCACCTACCTTCGGGGCAGTTGGTATCCTCCAGGCAAAAGCTGGCCTTGTGCCCTTCAGCCACCTTGGAGCCGTTGAGTGTCAGCAGGTCATAGTGGGTGAAGACCTCGATGCTGTGGAAGTGCCTGTGGGGACAGGAGCTGAGCGTGGGGGAGTGCCTGGCTGAGGAGCATGCGGCCAGCCCAGCCGCCCAGCTGGGAACGGGCAGCACCCAGAGGCTCTGAGCAAATTATAGACTTGAAGCCAAATAAAGCCGTAATGACAGTGCCAGCACTGACGCTGCTAATTACCCCGGGTGGGCCAGCTTCTGTGGGACATGTGCCACCATGTCCTGCCTGGCCTGGGGAGGGGGCAGCCCCCTGCCAGCTCCTGCCCATGGGCCACTCACCGGTGGCACTGGTGCCAGGTCCAGGCATGGCGCCCCATCTTGGGTCGGAAATCGGCTCTGCCCAGGTTGTGGATCTGGGAGGAGAAGCGGAGGAGGCGGCGGTGGCCATAGGGCCAATGCATGTCGTCAGCGGAGCGGGAGAGGCAGCGCTCCTCATGGGCGCAGTACAGCAGCTCCAGTGGCCGGTCCTCCAGGTAGGCTGTCTCCTGCACTAGCTGGGCATTCATCACCAGGTCTGGGGCATCTGGCACGGAGAGGATCAGTGTGGATGGAGCAGGTGACTCCACATAGCTCCCCCACCCCTGCTCTCTGTGACAGGAGAAGGGGGAGTGCCCCCTCCCAGCAGTACCCCATGGACTCCTGGTACTCACAGGCAGTGCAGGTGACTCCCGCCGAGAAGCGTCCCCCACCACTGGGGCAGTGGACAGGGCCGTGGCGCTGGCACTGCTGGAGGGCCAGCTCGGTGCCGGCGCAGCGCACCCCACTCATCACCACCCGGGCAGCATCAGGGTTGCCTGCCCAGTACCACGTCTCCTGAGCAGAGGAGGAGCACAGCACTCGGACCAGCCCTTGCACACCCTGCCAACCCCCAACCCTCCTGCCCTGCCAGCCTCCCTGCCCCAGCACTGCCACCAGGGCTTGACCCCTTGGGCTGTCCCATCCCAGAGCCCCTGGCCACCCCATGCATCCCGTTGGACCCCTCACAGTGCAGGCCACAGGCTGGGACCTCACTCACCTGGAGGGCATGGCTGGCAAAGCCCAGCCCCAGCTGCCGGCAGACGACCATGGCCTCGTTCAGGCCCCACTGTGCACCACACACTGCACCCCACTGTAGCTGGCCCTGCACTGGTACCAGTACCTCCACCACACCCTCCTCAGGGCTGCGGCCCCCTGCCAGCCGCACCTGTGGACAAAGAGGGAGTGAGCTGGAACGTGTGACAGACCCCCAGCCCTCCCACCCAGAGCTGCAATGTGGCAGGCAGCCCCATGCATCCAGCTGAACATCTCCCCCACCTTCCTCTTCTTTCCTTTCCTCCCCACAAGGCCACTTTTGCCACCAGTTCATCCTGCAGACCCCCATCAGTGTGCTGCTCTGTGTTTCCCCATCCCCTGGGTCACCCCAGGGCTGCTCTGAGCATCCACATGCCAGGCACAGAGCCTGGGGGACAGGGGCTGTGCAATGGGGCTGGGGCTCCACAGGCTCTGGGGAGGAGGCAGGGGCTCACCTGGCTCTGGAAGTCCATGTGGGGCATGTGGCAGCGTACGGCGGCATCAGCCTCGTGCCGGCACCCGCTCCGCTCGGCGTCCTGGAATTGGCACTCGCCCAGGGAGCGCTCATGGCCAGTGCACCGTACCGCACTCATGTGGATGGGCCCCAGGCCTGAAGCGGAGGGAGGGTCAGAGCTCCCTGCTCCATGCCCATCCTGGAGCAGGGAGGACCCCCACCCTCTTTCCCCTGGTCTGGGTGTTTGCTATGGGAACGGGGCTGCCTGTGGGAGGAGCAGCCAGAGGAGCCCCATCCCAGTGCAGGCTGGAGCTGCCTGGACATCCCAGGATGCTCCAGCAGCACCCAGTAGACCAGGGGCTTTCCCCATTGTGCCCCTCCGAGCTCAGCTGCACCCCAAGTCCCTGCTGTGCCGCCTGCCTTACCTTGGCCCATCTGGGCTCCCACCAGGGCTTGCTTTGCCGTCCCATAGCCCAGCTGCCGGCACACCACGCTGGCCGCGGCCAGGTCCCACTGCTTGTCACACACAGTGCCCCACTGCCCGTGGTGCAGCACCTCCACCCGGCCCTCGCCAGCATGGGTGCCTGCTCGCAGCCGCACTGGGAGCACCTGGGCAATGGGGAGCAGCCAGTCAGCGGCCCCAGGGCACGGCCACCCGCCTGCACCACGGGCACAAGTACAAACAGGGTGACCAGGTGCTTCCCGGCTACAGGACCCTCCATTGGCAGGAGGGGCATGAGGCCATGCCGGGGCTCACCTTCCCTGGGGAGGTCTTGCTCCTGCCCTTGCCTGTGCTCTTCTGGAAGACAGGGCCAGGGAGGCAGCTGACAATGGCGTGCATGCCACGGGGGCAGGCGTGCTGGCCAGGAGCCAGTGGGGCAACCTGTGTGGGGCAGCGGGCCAGGTGGGGCTCTGTGCCCTGGCACCGCACCCTGTGGACCCAGAAGCTGTTCTTTTGGCTGAGGGTCTTCAGGCTGCCAAGGGAGAGGCACAGGGGCCAGCATCAGCTCAGGTGTCAGAGACTCTCCCCCACCCAACACTGGTGCTGGGTGCCCACCCAGGGTGCTCCTGCCCACCCTGCCCAGGGCTGAGCCCTACCTGGAGTTGGGGTCCTTCAGCTTCATGTTCCAGAGCTTTCTGTGGGTCCAGAGAGACAGGAGGTCGGGGGGGGACCATGCCAAAACTGCTGGGCTCTGGATCCCCCACCCCATCATCCCTGCCCTCCTCAGCACCCTGTGGCAGGAGCTGGAGCCGTGGGGTCCTCCCACAGCATGGCAGGGTGAGGACAGGTCCTCTCCCCACTGGCAATTACCGTGCCAAGCCTGGCTGTGCCGTGTGCCCCAGCGGGATTTCGAGACTCCTGGCACCGGCAGGGGCTCATTATGGACTGTATTTATAGCCCCAGCCCGAGGCGGGGGCGGAGGGGCCGAGGGCCGCTGGTCTCTCCTCTTCTTCCACCCACGCTGTGCTGGCCACGGCTGGCGACTGTCCCCACAGCCTCCTGGCCGCTGCTGAGCCCCACTCTGCCCCTTGTTGAGGCCCCAAGAAGGGGTCCCGGGCGTGGCCAGGCCATACCAGCACTCCACACACCCACCCACATGTGCATCCCTTCCTCGACAGCCCCGAGTCTCTTGCCCCCACAGAGTGTCCAGCCAGGCCCCCTGCCCCATGTGCCCCACGGCTGCGATGCAGGTCTCCTGCATCCCTACCGGTAGAAGCTGGTGTTGATGTGCTTCTCCTGGGGGAAGCCCAGCATCCCGCAGACCACGCGGCTGTTGTTCCTGGTCCAGCCAGCATCGCACACCTGCCTCCAGCGCCCGTTGTGCTTCACCTCCACAGCACCCTCTGTCACTGGCATGCTCAGCTTGGCCCGTGCCAGGATGGGCTTGAGCCGCACCTCCTCCAGGCTCAGCCCCAGCACCTGCCGTGGTGGGCACAGGGGTGGGCACGTGGGCTCCAGCATCCAGGGCAGGGTGTTAAGGATGGGGACAAGGGGAAGGGCCAGAAGGACCTGCTCCAGTCCCCCTGGTGTACTCTGCTGGGCACAGGGCAACCCCATGGCCCCCCACTCACCTCTCCCTGGTGACCAGGGGTGGTGGCCTGGGGGGGGCTGCCAGGCAGACGCTGTTCCAAGCACACCACACCGGCATCCTCGCCGTGGTGGCAGTCGCTGGTGCCCCAGCCATTGTGGATGCACTCTGCCAGGGAGCCCTCACTGCCCCCGCACCGCACATTGTCCAGCCAGATGGGGCCTGGGGATGCATATGCAAGGCTGCGGGTCACCGTTGCTGAGGGGTCCTCATCTCCCTCCCCAGCACCATGGGCTCCACCCAGTGCCCCTCACAGGCTGCCCGCACCTATAGCCCCTCAGGCAGGCTCCCCGAGCCAGCGTTAAGCACACTGCCCTTGCCAGGACCCCCTGCCCCTCCATTCCCCACCTGCACCCTACCTTCCCCTTGGCCGTAGGTGGCACTATGTGTCCAGGTGACAGCCGCGGTGTAGCCCAGCTGCCGGCAGGCGACGGTGGCCGCATGGAAGTCGAAGCCATCATCGCAGACGGTGCCCCAATGTCCCTGGTACAACACCTCCAGACGACCCTCCCCAGCTGGCCCCCGTGGCCCCACCAGCCGCAGCTGCACTGGGGCTGGCTCCTCCTTGCTGGGGGCCACCCAGCATAGCAGCAGCAGCAGGATGGGGCTCTTGCCAGCGGGTATCACCATCGTGGTTCTGGGGGGTGGGATGCCTGGGGACAGCCTGACACTGAGCCCTTAGGGACCATAGTAGGGTGGGGGGTGCTGCTGCAGCCCCCCTGTGCCCCAAGAGCTGCATGCTGGTGTCATGCCCCCTCACACAGCAGTGACACCCCTGTCTCTGCACTGTGGGGGACGCAGGGCTGGTCCCCACCATGCACAGCTCACAGCATCCCCCACCCGGGGATCAGTCCCCAACCTCACACCCACCTGCCCCTCACCGGGGTCACCCAGCCCTGGCAGAGCTCTCCCAGGGACCCACAGCCCCGTGCTCAGCTCTGGCTGCAACACTCACAGGCAGCCCCACAAACACTGCCCCGCCCCTGTTATTCCTGCCTGCCCCATGATTCGGGGCATGGGTGGGGGCTCCACAGAGCCCCCCTTTATACCCTACCCAAACCCTGTGCCAGACACCTGGGTCCCATCCCCATCCTGCACACAGCCCCTGACCCCCATCACCCCACCTCTCCCCCTGTATCCCCACTCAGAACACTAGTGGGGTTGCTGCCCCCCACTCCAGTTGCCCAGACCGCCCCCCCCGGGGCCATCCCCGGCACTCACCCTGGCAGGGGTGATGGTGCAGGACAGGCAGCAGCTTGGGGCAGGCAGTGACGAGGGGACGCGGTGCTGGC